AGGCACAGGAAAAAGCTTTACAGACATTTGGTTAAAGTGTAAAATGTTTGCACCTGGCTATAAAGCAAGCCGTGTTCCTGGGCTGAAGAAACTCCAAGGAGGCTAGTCACTAGGGAGAGGAAGCTGGGCATTGCTATGTAACAACATTACCCGGTGCCCACAGCCACCGTTTCAGGGCTGGGCTGGGCTGGGCTGTGGGCCGCATTTTGCGCCAGGGGGTCTGGGCAGTGTCGGTTGCAATTTGGTGGGGTGTCACTTTGGATGGTGGCAGGGCCTGTGTCCCACTTGGGGGAAGCTAAGTGTTGCTTTGTGGACACCAGATCCGTGGTGCCGATTCTCTGTAAATGGCCGGTGCGTGTCACAGCAGCTCCTGCATTGAGCATCTTCCCCCTGGTGGTCAGGGTGTGTCATAGTGAGTGGTTGGATGGTTGGAGACTAGCATATTAGCCTTTTATATATAGATGTAAAATTTCCATAGCAATAAATACTGTCATTACTGAGAAACTACACCTCCAGTTATAAATACAACCAACTGCCTGCAGCTACAGTTTTTCCAGAAGATGCGGGCCTGGGGTGACAGAAGCAAAGGCACAGCACCCCAATAAGCGACTAAGCCGGGCCTCTTGTGTGCTCCCCGCTGAACCTGCCATATTCTAGTACCTCTTCAGGGGGCAGTAACTGTGAACCAATAAGACCTGGCTCTGTATTCAAAGTTCTGAGGATCATGTGGAGGCAAAAGTGAAACTCCTAGACAGGGAGATAGGGAAGGAGAAACAAAGACTCAAAAACAAAAATTCTCTGGCTCAAAGAGGATATATGAAGTAAAATCCCAACAAGAATAACTATTTCAAACAGTAAGAAAGGGAATTAAAGAAATCTATAATTGAACCAGAAACTCACTCCAGATAAAAGTCAATGTAGAGAAGTATGACAAACTCTAAAGTAAGTATAATGAGAATGTTCAAAGATATAAATGAAGGCTAAAATTGCTCAACTAAAAAGGCAGAAATGATAAGAAAAAGTATTCATTGAAATGTTTAAGATGCAACAGATGAAATCACGTTATACTAGACTAGAGGCCCAGTGCACCAGTTGGGTCCTGGGCCTGGCCTGTAGGATCAAGCTGAAACCAGCTCTCCGATGTCCCCAGAGGGGTTCCAGATTGCGAGAGGGCGCAGGCCAGGCCAAGGGACCCCACCAGTACACGATCAGGGTCGGGGAGGGATGCAGGAGGTTGGCCAGCTGGGGAGGGATCACAGGAGGGCTCCAGGGTGTGTCCAGCCTGGCTCGCTTAGTCCCAATCAGCTGGACCCCAGTAGCAAGCTAACCTGATCGGAGAGTCTGCCCCCTGGTGGTCAGTGTGCGTCATAGTGAGCGGTTGAGTGGCCTTAACATATCATTAGCATATTACACTTTGATTGGTTGAACAGACGACCGGACACTTAGCATATTAGGCTTTTATTATATAAGATACAGAGATGCTGGCCCATAATGTAGCCCAGAAATGAAAAAAAAAAACTAAATGACAGAGTAGTTAGGTGCTAGGGAGGAGAGGCCCCAGCACTTGAGATGACCACACATCCAGTGTCCCCAGGACAGTCTGGGTTAAGTCTGTCCTGACCCTTCACCTGAATCATGTTCCTCACAAAAAAGTGTCCTGGTTAGAACAAAAAGTTATGTGGTCAATCCATTCAACGTTCAGCTATTAGGAGTTCCATAAGAGAATGTCCCGCCTGGCCAGTGCTGCTCACTGGTTAGAGCATCGACCGGTGCACCAAAGGATTGCAGGTTCAATTCCTGGTCAAGGGCATGTGCCTGGGCTGCAGGTTCAATCCCCAGCCCCAGTCAGGGAATGATTGATGTGTTTCTCTCACATCGATGTTTCTCTCTCTCCCTTTTTCTATCTCTATCTCTATCTCTCTCTTTCCTCCCTCCATCCTTTCCTCCCTCCCTTCCATTCTTTCTAAAAAAAAAAAAAGAATGGAAAAAATATCCTCAGGGGAGAATTAACAAAACAAAAATAAAGAGAGAGAGAGAGAATGTTCCAGAAGCAATAACTGCAGAGAAAATTGCTGGGGATTTTCTGGAATTAAGGAACACTATAAGCCATCAAATAGAAAGTGTACTCTGAGAACAAAGCAGGATAAGTAAAGACAAGTCCTCACAGGGAGAGAAGACTGCAGAACATCCAGGATAAAAAGCAATCTTCCACTAGAATTACTACAGACTTCTCATCAGCAACAAAAGAGCAGAAAAAATGAAGTACTTTCAAAGTGCTGAGAGACAAAAAAAAAATCTTATCCAGCCAAACTTGTCATGAAAGTAAGAAGGCAAAAAAGGGCATTTTTAGACTCAAAATGAAGAATCAGAGAGTTTACCCCTCACATATTCTCACTAAGCAATCAGTGGGATAAGAAATACACAAGAACCTGAAGACTTTAATAAAATATGCCAGTAAATAAATTATTTTTGAGTGTTCAGGAAGAGAAGGGAAGGGAAACACAAATTTTAAGAAAGAGAAAGCACAAATGCCTTATAAACATAAAAATGTGTACAACCTCAACAGTAACTAGGAAAATGATCATTGAAAATCCAATGAGATGCCATTCACACAAGGTTTTTTCACTGAGCAATACCAACTGTGTGCGAGGATGCGGAGCCATAGGACTCTCCTTCTAGGTCTTGCCTGGCAAAGTGAGGCAGGCACATGCTCTAGGGCCCAGCCATTCCACTCTTAGCAGGAGGCAGGTACCAGAATGTTCACAGAGGTTTTATTCACAGTAGCCCAAACCAGAAACAGCCCAAATGGCCATGGCCCGTAGAACAGAAAAACAGATTACGTATGCTTCAACCATATCAAAGTGAAATAAGTTACATCAACATAGATGAATCTCAAAAACATAATGCTGAACGTAGTCCAAAACAGGCAAAATTAAATGACACATTGACTGGGGATACAAATATGTAGTAAACCCTAAGGACCATGATAAACATCAAGTTCAGGATAGTAGTTACCTTTGGGTGAGCCAGAGAGGACCAGTAAGGGGACTGTTCTGTGTTTTTCATCTTGGCCTGGCTGCCAGTAACTTGGTTGTTCATTTGATCACTGTTCTTGCAATATTACCCTTATCTATATATATAAAAGCCTAAGAGACTGGCTGACCGGCCAGCAGCTATGACGTGCAATGACCACCAGGGGGCAGACGCTCAATACACAGGCATGGAAACCTGGAACAGACTGATGAATCTCAGAGGGAAGTGGGGAGGGGGGAGAGGGGAGAGCGGGAAGAGATTAACCAAAGACCTTATATGCATACTAGAGGCCTGGTGCACGAATTCGTGCACTGGTGGGGTCCCTTGGCCTGGCCTGCGGAGATCGGGCTGAAACCAGCTCTCCGACATCCCCCGAGGGGTCTCCTAGATTGTGAGAGGGCACAGGCCAGGCCAAGGGACCCCTCCAGTGCACAAATCCATGCACTGGGCCTCTAGTCTATATATATAAAAGCCTAAGTGACCAGCTGACTGGTAGCTATAATGCACAATGACCACCAGGGGGCAGATGCTCTGACCAGTAGCTATGATGTGCACTGACCACCAAGGGGCAGACGCTCAACGCAGGAGCTGCCAAGCTGCAGTGACTTGGCAGCTGCGGTTCTCGGGTGACACACCCGGAACCAGAGAGGAGAAAGCCCAATTCCGGGGTGCGTCACCCGAGAACCGCCCTCTCATAACCCGTGACCCCTCGGGGGATGTTGGAGAGCCAGTTTCAGCCCGATCCCCACAGGCCAGGCCAAGGGACCCCACCAGTGCATGAAGGGCCTCTAGTGTTTTCATACAGTCTTTTCATCAATGTTATATTTTAAATTTTATCATTTTTTAAATTAATAAAAAGGTGCTCTTGTTAGCATTGCTATTACAGATAGTAGTGCCAGATATATTTAGTGTATTTTCAACTTGCCTTGCAACAAATATTCTTTTTTTCATTGTGTCCAAAGATAACCGTGTAGCTTTTTGAAGACTGTCTAGTAATTGATGAGAGAAGAAAGCATAGACCTCTTTGCATTCCTGTAATGAGAAATCACATTACATTTGGTACAAAAGATAAAGCAAGAATACAGTATCAGAAGTGTCGTGTGAAAAATGAAAAATCATAAACTATACAATTTCGATTATATTGTATAAGGTCAATCCTAAATGACTTGCTTATTTTTTAAAATGTATTTTTATTGATTTCGGAGAGCTGGGTAAGAAGGACGGGCTCAGCAGGTGTGAACCAGGAGGAGTAGGTCAGGGTCGGTGAGTTATCCGGCTAAAGCACGGGTGTGACATAATCCATATTGATGTTAGACAGGCCACTCTGGCAGCCATGTGGAAGGTGGAGGCTACCGAGGAGGTGGCTGCACGGATGCCGCCCAGGTGACCCACCAATTCCAGAGGCTCTGGCGGCACTCGGTCTTACTCTGAGGACCCAGCCTGTGTTGCAGGGAAGGCAGCTGAAAGAGAAGGGCCGCTGGCCCGGGACCCCCCTCCTGCTCTGGCCGAAGCCTGCAGACTACTAACAGCGGCTGGTGCAAGGTTCTGAGAGAAAATCCGCAGCTAAAATCTAGGATCGGCAAGACAGTGTTTCCCATCAATTGCTGATGATCATCCTTGAGCAAGAAGGTGAGAGCGGAACAAATGTGTGCTACTTATCTCCAAAACTGCCTGTAGGACAGTGTGTGTTAAAGTGCAAAAGAACGTGAAATAGAAAGCATGAAAAGACGATGAGCACCACGGGTTAAAGGAAGACTGACGGGAGCAGGGGAAGCAGGAATTAGCACAAACGTGGCAGGGCATTCGGTGCCGATGTCACCTGGAGGGTGAGGCCAGAGGAGAAAGAAACCCCGTGCCTCCTTCCCAACCTCCATTCTCGACACAACGTGAACATCTGCCCCCTCGGGGTCTCTCCTGGGGGAGAGTCCACAGGCTGCCCACGGTGCTGATGAAAATGCAGATCCCTGGACCCCGAATGAATCAAAATCTGGGCTTGCAATACAGGTAATGCTGTGAAGCACAATAACAGGAAAACCTTCCCCAGTCTGAGTCAAACAGACTGGCACTCCAGTCCCCGAGTGGCCTTTACTATGTAAGAAAACATGGCCAATCGCCAAAGGGGAAGATGAGTATATAATGTAAACGTAGTTGACACATCACATGAAAAGTTGATGAAGTTGGGGAAAACTGTAAGGATTGCTGTATCTTGCCAGATTCTTCAGTGCAGAGTTGAACATGACATTTTGTGGACTTTGTTACAAATCCAAATTCGTTATAAATCCACACGGATTGGTTGCAGAACCTCCTGGATGAAGCACCACTCAGATTACCTACAACCTCTGAGTCATAACTCTGTGAAATCCAATGAGGTCGTTTCACAATAAATACCTTTTTAAATTCATCTTCTTTCTCGTTAACAGCAACCTCAGGCATAATTGAAGTCTCATAATCAGTGTTTTCAGTCTCTTCTGCTTCACTTCCAAAAACAACATGTTTCCTATGTTCTACAGATAAAATACAAAACAAGATATAACATTTAATATTGAGCACTTGGCTTATTATATATGGCCAAAACTTCTTTTAAGAAAAAAAAACAAAACACCTCTTCTTAAAAAGTCCTTAATTTAAAAATTTAAAATTTGTTCCCATAGGAATCATCCTTGAATTCCATTTAAATCACCCATCTCAATAGAATTATTATTCTACTGAGAAATATACTTTATAAAATATAATGTCTTAGTATCTGGAATTAAGAAACATTTAAGGTTTTCACTTACTATCTTTCTAAAATATTTATTTACTTTTGGAGTTTTATAATGTAATGAACTGAGATGTTTGTGTTTTGACACTTTTGAGGAAAACTAATTAAACTAAGTGGGGAAACTCTAAGAGAAAGAAGGCATGTATGGATTGCTGTTTAGGCTCAGTTTCTCAGCCTCAGCACTACTGCTATTCTTGGTATCTTGGGGAGGCGGGTGCTGTCCTGAGCATTTAGGATATTCAGCAGCATCCCTGGTCTCTACCCATTAGAGGCTATTGGCACCTCCTCCCCTGGCTGTGTGACAGCCAACAATGTCTCCAGGCCTTTAAGAATGCGAGAGAGAGAGAGAGAGAGAGAGAGAGAGGAGATTATTATAGCAAACCTGAGACTGCTATCCAGGAAAAGCTCTGCTTGCAAGGTTGGTCCTTGGTTGGTATCTGGGAACTGGGATTTCAGAAGGTTTCCCACCATTGTCTAACTCAGCGATTTTCAACCTGTTTCAACTCTTGGCACACATAAACTAATTACTAAAATTCTGCAGCACACCAAGAAATACATTATATTTTTTGCCTGTCTGACAAAAATAAAAGGTATAATTTTGATTCATTCACACTGGACATCTATTGTTGTGTTGGCTGCTGTCATCTCTTAATTTGACAACCTAAGGGAAAAGAGGATAGTGCTCCTGGCTAAATAGTCAGGTATTGCATGTTTTAAAAATTCTTGCAGCACACAGGTTGAAAATCGCTGCTCTAACTTATAAAACAGGCTGGCTGGTGTGGCTCAGTGGTTGAGCATCGATTTATGAACCAGGAGGTCACGATTCAATTCCAGTCAGGGCACATGACCAGATTGAGGGCTGTCCCCAGTAGGGGCATGCACGAGGCAGCCGATCAATGGTTTTCTTTCATCTCTGATATTTCTATGTCTCTCTCCTTCTCCCACCCTCTCTGAAATCAATAAAATTATACTTTTTTTTTAAAGGGCTCACTGTGCCTAAACAATGCAAATAATGCAAACAATGTGGTTGATGCTGAACACCTGCTTTGCTTTCCTTCTGGGAGTCTGGAATTTGGGTTGCTGCTAAGCAGAAGGAGTCTACTTGCAAACATACCTTTAATTCTTGTAATTCAAACATTATAGCTAGTGAAATTACCTGATACGTGTTTTCCTAGTTTCACACTGTACTTAACTTCATAAATAGCCTCAAATATTGATATAAGTTCTCTGACAGCTTCTTCCACATGCTTACTCTTGTGGTTTAGAATATCAGCCCATTCTTTTGTGTATGTCTATTAAATTAAAAAATCATTATTAATTTCCAGATACTTTTTAAACACTGTGAAAATTATTTTAAAAACTATAATTAACCGCCACTTAAAAATAACTAGAGATAGTTGCCAATAGCATAATATTTCAGATCCAAAACTGCCAATGGCTAAAGGCACAGCTGCTCGGGCCCAGGCCAAGAGAAGGAGGAGAAAGAAGGAAAATTCAGTCTTTGACCTTTACCTGACTCAATCACACACAGACATCTACATTCACATTTATATGATGAAAAAAAAGAAGGCTAAAAAAGCAGAGACGTAATATTGTCAAAAGTTCAAAATGAGTCCGGCCACTGTGGCTCAGGGTTGAGCATCCACCCATGAACCAGGAGGTCATAGTTCAATTCCCTGTCAGGGCACATGTATGGGTTTTGGGCTTGATCCCCAGTAGGGGGCATGCAGGAGGCAGCCAATCAATGATTCTCTCTCATTATTGATGTTTCTATCCCTTTCCTTTACTCTCTCTGAAATCAATTTTTAAAAAGCATATTTTTTTAAAATGTTGAAATGAGAAGTAGTTTGAAAAAGGACAATCCAAAGTGTTGCTGAGATTCAAATGAAATTAGGTTTTTAAGTGAGCATGGTGTATGCCAGCATTAAAATTTCAGAGCTTTGTGTATATTTACTCATTTAATTAAAGGACAACCTCTTGGGACAGGTACTATTATCGTCCCCATCTCACAGATGAGAAATCGGAGGCTCAGAAAGAATAAGAAACGTGTCCAAGGTCACCCAGCGGGTGGTAAAAATAGAGGTTTGAAGGCCAGCTCTGACTGATTCTAAAAGCCTGTGCTTTTGCCTTTCTACACTTTTTTTTTAATATAAATTTCTTTATTGATTTCAGAGAGGAAGGAAGAGGGAGAGAGAGATAGAAACATCAATGATGAGAGAGAATCATTGATTGGCTGCCTCCTGCACGCCCCCGACTGGGGATCGAGCCCGAAACCTGGGCATGTGCCCTCAGCCAGAATCGAACCTGGGACCCTTCAGTCCGCAGGCCGATGCTCTATCCACTGAGCCAAACTAGCTAGGGCTCTACACTTTTTTAATAGTCAAAAAAGGCTTTAGGAAGAAGTTGAAAACTAGTTAAATTCAAAAAAGAAAGCAGGTTTATAGAAATGAATAGGTCTTTTGACAACATCCAGACATTTTAGAAAAGGGAAAAGTAAATGGGACCAGCCGACTTGGGCCTCCAAATGACTTCCTCGAAGGAACCCACGCCTGTCTATGCAAACGTCTCTCCAGATGAGCTGTGTGAGGCCCACACTCCCCGTGTGCTGCCCTCATGTGTTCCTTGGCTACTGGATTGAGGGAGATACTTCTGAGTTTGTCACTTCCATTTATACCACCTCTTCTGTATCTGAACCCATCCCCATCTTTTCCCAGTCTCCCCGAAGACATTCGCTGATCCTCTGCACCCCCACCAACTCTTCTGACTTTGCTCCATTATTCATTCCTTCCATCCTTTCTAATTACGCAACATAATGTTGAACACTGGAATGGCAATGGTGGCTGAGAGCCACTTCATTCTAGCAGGGAAAACGAGTGCTAAGCAGTAGACACTTCCGGCTGATCCTGGCAGATTGATCACCTGTAAACATATGTGTTCAACTGTGTAAATGTAAACACAAGTTTACACCATCAGCCATCCCCATCCCTGCTTGCTTTGAAATCCCCTAAGAACCAGACACTACAAGTTAAACCTGACAGGTTGAACATACATGTTTACTTGGGCAATCCCCTGTTACTTCCAAAAACCTAAAAAAATAAACAAATAAATAACACAAAGTAATCTTTTAAAAAGAATATGCCCACATGAATAAATGAGAGGATGCCACATACATTCTTCATATGTTTTCAATACTATATAATAATAAAGTTAATGAGATTCAACAACTGGTGCTGGGACAACTGAATATCTTATCTATTTGCAAGAGAATGAAATTGAATCCTCTCATTACACCATACACAAAAATTAACTCACAATGAATCATGGACCTAAACATAAGAGCTAACACTGTAAAACTATCAAAAGAAAACACAGGCATATGCTAAAAAAAAAAAAATGATATCTTACCTTTTTTGACAGCATGGATGAACCTGGAGTTTACTATGCTAAGTGAAATAAGCCAGTCAGAGAAAGACAAATACCATATGATCTCACTTATACGTGGAATCTAAAGAACAAAATAAACTGACAAACAAACTGGAAACAGAAGCAGGGATACAGACTGAGAGCTGTCAGACAGGAGGGGCGTTGGTGGACTGAATATAAGAAGGTAAAGCGATTAAGGAAAAACACACACACATGTATATATTACACAAAGACACAGGCAACAGAGTGGTGGTAGCCAGAGGGAAAGGGAACTGAGGGGTAGGTAGAGGTACACAGGGGGGGAAGGGATGGAAAGAGATTTTGCTTGGAGCAATGGGTGCACAATAAATTCACCCCAATAGATTCAATTTTTTAAAAAAGAGCCCGCCGGTCGCCGGTGTGGCTCAGTGGTTGAGCGTCAACCTATTAACAAGGAGCTCACAGTTTGATTGCTAATCAGAGCATGTGCCCAGATTGCAGGCTTAGTCCCCAGTAAAGGGTGTGCAAGAGGCAGCCAATCAATGATTCTCTCTTATCATTGATGTTTTTATCTCTCTCTCCCTCTGCCTTCCTCTCTGAAATCAATAAAAATATATTTTTTAAAAAAAGAAAACAGGCATAGATCTTCATAATTTTGGATTAGGCAAAATTTTCTTAGCTATGATACCAAAAACAGAGCAACAGAAGAAAAAGAAGATAAATTGAACAACATCAAATTTAAACATTTTGGGGCTTCATAGGACAACATCAAGAAAATGAAAAGACAACCCACAGAATGGAAGAAAAAATGCAAATCATATATCTGATAAGGGACTAGTATCTAGAACAGGGGTGGGCAAACTTTTTGACTCGAGGGCCACAATGGGTTCTTAAACTGGACCAGAGGGCCGGAACAAAAGCATGGATGGAGTGTTTGTGTGAACTAATATAAATTCAAAGTAAACATCATTACATAAAAGGGTACGGTCTTTTTTTTTTTTTTAGTTTTATTCATTTCAAACGGGCTGGATCTGGCCCGCGGGCCGTAGTTTGCCCAGGGCTGATCTAAAACATATAAAAAACAATTACAACTAAAAACAATAGGCATTTCTGAAGGAAGATATACAAAAGGTTAATAAGCACATGAAAAAAAGGTTCCACATCACTAGTCATTAGGGAAATACAAATCAAATACTCAATGAGACACCACTTGACATCCACCAGGATGGCTATAGTAAAAAAGACAAATAATAAGTGTTGACAAGGATGTAGAGAAATTGGAACCCTTGTACAAAGTTAGTGGGGATGTAAAATTATGCAGCCGCTTTGGAAAACAGTCCAACAGCTCTTCAAAAGGTTAAACTTGGAGTTAACATATGACCTAGCAATTCCACTCCTAGGTATATATCCATAAAAAATTAAAATGTAGCCAGAGGGAAAGGGAACTGAGGGGTAGGTGGAGGTACACAGCAACATTATCTATACTAATAAAAGGGTAACAAGCTAATTAGACCTGGTTGACCAGACATCTTCCGGTTGTCCAGTCCTCCGTCTGGACAAAGCCATGGTGGCGGGGGCCAAGGCAGAGACGGTTAGGGGTGATCAGGCCGGCAGGGGACCAGTTAGGGGCAATCAGGCCGGCAGGGGAGGGCAGTTAGGGGTGATCAGGCAGTCAGGCAGAGGTCGTTAGGGGTGATCAGGCAGGCAGACAGAGGGGATAGGGGTGATCAGACAAGCAGGCAGGTGAGCGGTTAGGAGTCAGCAGTCCCAGATTGCAAGAGGGACATCCCCCAAGGGGTCCCAGAATGGAGAGGGTGCAGGCTGGGCTGAGGGACCCCTCCCTCCATGCACGAATTTCATGCACCGGGCCTCTAGTTTGTTTATAAATGAAAATAAAGTACATTTATGTTCACAGGAGCATTATTTGTAATGGCCCAAGGTGAAAAGATATAATCATTTCAAACTTGCATGCTCTGAGAACAAGACATTAAAATGGGCCATTACAGCCAAGGCCCCAATGCTGAGAACAAACAATTTTAATACCCCACACATTATGAAAAAGACAGTTCTTAAAAGGTAGCAGGGAAGGCAACCCTCGGCCCACTGCCCACCTTGAGGTTATAGAAGGGAAGCTTGATCATTGGTAGAGATGTGGTAGAAGTAAGTAAAGGAACTTTAAAAGAACTACTCAGAGACTCTGACCCAAGTCCTCTTGAATCGGGGATAGAGGTGCAAACCCATGCTTAAGTAGTCCTGAGGGAAGAAGCTGGCTGGGAGCCCCAGCCCCTAAAGGCAAGAATAGATGTTTGGGGAAGAAATTGCATTTTTAGAGAAAGAGGGGCAAAGGCAACTGTTTTCCACAGGCTAATCGGACCCCTTGAGATGAAGCCACCCTTGGTTGTCTTGAAAAGGACACTGGCAAGGTGACCCAAGCCAGCAGGGTGGGTGTAGCGGAAGCACAAGGCAGGCAAGAAAGGAAAAGGAATTCGTTAAAGACAAAGTGGGTGCTTTTGAGAGAGACTGTGTTAGTGTGCCAAGCCTCCACCATGATTAGACAGGGCTCCTGGCCTGTCCTTTCCAGCCAGTGTATGTTGAGAAGGGTTAGGCTTTATCCTGTGGGAACTAGACAGGTTTCCCCAAGGGAGTTTTGCAGTTGAATTTGGTGGAAATGTGGAGACTGGATATGATGGGGCCACATATGGAGGCAGAGAGACTAGTTAGACCATGACATCGATTGCTAAACTCCAAAGGAGCCTTACAGATCTGCCCTAAGACAGGGGTAGTAACCGTGGAAAAGGGGAGGCAATTCAACCAAAATTTGAGGAAGAAGCAAAACCTGACTAAGTCTGAAGACTGACTGGACTTAGGAAAGGGAGCGAGGAAAGAGCCCTGCTGGCTCCTGGGTGTCTGGGTGACTGAAAGGGAAGTCTGTGGCAGTGAAAACCGTGAGGACAGACAGAGGTACAAGAGCAGTGAGCCTCTGACAGAACCCCGCACGGGGCTGAGGACAATAGTAAAATAATATCTAGGGCATGGCCATCGGTCTGAGCTGTTGGAGCCTTGTAAGCTTTGGGAGCTGAGGCTGTCCCCCAAAAAAGCTAGGATATCTAAATACTACTGACACAGATTTCTACTCTTGGATTGTAAATTCACATTTCAGGTTTATGAGCGTCTCCATGATTAAAATCTAACACATAAATGCATACCTCATTGAGCGTCAGCATATCTTCCACTTTGGTAGCACCAGCTTCGGGCAGGGAAATTAACACAGTTTTGGCTATCTCCTTTAGAACCGTATCAATATGCATCTCACACAAGTCATTGATCTACCAACAAGAAGGAAAAAAATGTGGGAGAAAACTCTTCTTTCAGCCAAAATGTACCTGAGTTATAATCTAATTTAGAGGGCTGTATCTGGAATCCTGCCTCCAGAGCCGAGCATAATTTGGTGGGATTTTTAGATGTATATCCGCAAAAAGAGCTTGACCTGGAACTAAAGTTTTATTGAGCAGCAATGTGTACCATATGCACGATCTCTTTTATAGCCTCATTCCAGCCCATGAGCCATCGCTATTCCAGTTTTACAGCTAAAGGAACCAATGCTCAGAGCTGTAAAGTGACCGTGGGAGAAACACACGCTGGTGAAGGGCAGAGGATCACACGCAGGTGTATCCGCCTCCCCAGCCTCTGAGTTTTCACGGTACACCACACACTGCCACACCAACAGATGAGCGTATCCAGAAAGAACTCCTATGCATACTTGCATAACCCGTGGACACAGACAATATGTGAGGTGAAGGCCTGGGGAGGGGGCAGGAGTGGGGAGGAGGTGGTCAATGATGAGGAAAAAGAGGTCATCTGTAAAATTTTCAACAATAAAGATAAATTTAAAAAATAATTAAAAAAAATAAAAGTGCCTAAGAGCTAATGATGACCCCCCCCTCCGGGAAAAAAAAAAAAAAGTGTGCTTCTACCTAGCAAGCACAGCAGGAATCAACAGACAATAGCCAACTAGATGACGCCCTCGTTTCATTAATATCAGATGCATGGTTATTTAAGAACTCCGCTCTGCCATTTTTCACAGTCCACAGTTTTTTAAAACTAAGCTGTGGAGGTGAGTCATCATTTTAACGTATTAAAGGCAAGGTCATTCAGAGACAAGAACAGGCAATCCTAAATGAAAAGGGCCCAAAGCAGTTAAAGAAACATAACGCATTAATTGTTTTTAGCTTAATGGATATCCTTTCAGTTAAAAGTCACACCTTTTAAAGGGGTTTCACAGGTAATCAAACTATTGCTCACAGTCAGAGTATTCATGTACATAGTTTTTTCATATTTATCTATTTTACCTTCTTTAAAAGTTGATTGAACATATTCAAAACTGAGTCAACTTCTTGAAAGAAGCTTTCTAGTGTTAGAGATGACCATGTTAATATTGTGAGCCCTTGTCTCAACACGGATTCCACCTAGAAAAAAAAAGGGGGGGGGGGGGGGTGGAAGGATGTTTCCATCATTAACAGAAGCATCTGCATTTATTTAAGAGGCTTTCTTTTATTACTTAGAAATATTATAGGTTATATTTCCTTAATTATATTTCTCCTCCATTATACCTGACAAAAGTGACTTTTTGTTTTTTATGGATCATCTTTAGCTATCCAGGAAGCAATCATGGATTTTTAGAAAGTGCTAATTATGTAGATTTAGTTGCTTTTCAAAGGCAACAAAACGTAGACAAGAAACCATTGTGTAGGAATAATAGAGCTATAAAGTTGAACTAGAAAGACAGAGGGTCTAGGCAAGAACTGATGTTCTAAAACCCACCATCTATAGAACTGTAATCTTAAACAAGAAAATCAACATAAACCTTCAGTATTACCAACCTTCTTCATTTTAGGGGCCATCAGATTGACAAACACCGAGGGCACCTCCTGGCACAACTCATCGTAATACTGCAGAAGGTCCTGTCAAAAGTCCAAATGGCACGTCTTACTTTCACTGATTTTACAACAATAGTCATATTTTGATTCAGACCAAGAAGGTTTCGTGATACCTGTGTCCTCGAACTCCTGCCAAGATGGAGGGTGCTCATTTAAAGTTATACTAGCTAAAGTACTTTCCCCCACCTGTAAATTACCTGAGCATCCCCTGTGAACAGTAAGTCAATGGGTTTGCATTTTTCATGTTTAGGATTTAATTGTCTTTCTAGATTTATGCTATTTTAAATAGCTTGGCTAATTATCTTCTCGTGATGTCTGCCGTTACACATTTCCCCCCTTTTTTTCCTTGTCCTCTGACATATTAAAGCATACAGATCACCGATACCACACTTGTTTTCTTGAATCAAAATCAATGTCCTACAATCAGAATTAATAAGCTTTTTATTTTCTTTTATATAATCTTTCAGAGATGAGCCATCACAACAATCGATTTTTGACTGTTTTGTAATTTACTGTACTGTGTGATGGGAGATGTGGATTCAAGTTAATCCTCCCCCAAAGTAATAATATTAAATTGTTTCAATGTGTACTTGATAGTTTCAAAGTTATTCATTTCTTTCCTGCTTTTTTTGTTTTTTACTTGCAGTTGAACTTTCATGTATACTTGACACTTGGCAAAGGACTTGGACTTTCGAAGTATCGTTCAGTACTAACTGAAACCTAAAGGATGCAATGCGAGTGATAGGAACCTCAATTTAGAACAGCACTTTGACACTCAATTCTCCAAAGGCACAACTAGCCAATACAAAAGCCTAGGGCTTCCGAGGCTGAAGCTAAAGTTTACATAATGCCAATGCTCCTTTGAGGTTTTTTTTAAAAGGACTTGGACTTTCGAAGTATCGTTCAGTACTAACTGAAACCTAAAGGATGCAATGCGAGTGATAGGAACCTCAATTTAGAACAGCACTTTGACACTCAATTCTCCAAAGGCACAACTAGCCAATACAAAAGCCTAGGGCTTCCGAGGCTGAAGCTAAAGTTTACATAATGCCAATGCTCCTTTGAGGTGTGTTTTTTTTTTAAAGATATATAGCAATTAAATACTATTTTGGCAAAAGCTAAAATTATTAAACTCTTAAAAGAAAGCATAGTTATAAATCTTCATGACCTTGGATTAGGCAAAGATTCCTTAGATATAACACTAAAATCACAAGAGGCAGTAGAAAAAGTAATGACCTGAACTTCACCAAAATTAAAAATGTGCTTCAAAAGCCACTATCAAGAAAATGAAAGGACAACCCTCAGGATAGGATAAAATATTTTCAATCCTGTATCTGATAAGGTATTTGTACCTAGGCTATGTGAAGAATACTTACATCTCAGTAACAAAAAGGTAGATAACTCAATTAAAATATGGGCAAAGGCTTTGAATAGATATTCCTTCAAAGATCTAGAAATGGACAATGAGCACACAAAAAGATGCTCATCACTAGCTATGAGAGAAACACAAATCAAAACCACACTAACACACTGCTTTACATCCAAATGATGTTCACATGAAAAGGACAGATAGTAACAGTTGTTGGCAAAGATATGGAGAAATTGAAACTCTCTCACAGTACTTGCGGAAATACAAAATAATGCAGCCTCTTTGAAAAAGTGTGTCAGTTATTCAAAAGGTTAAACATAGAGTTACCAAGTTACTGAAACCCAGCAATTTCACTCCTAGGTATCCCCCCTGGAGCAGCAACTTTCAACCGATGTGCCTCAAGAATTTTTAAAAGATGAAATACTGCCCTAGCTGGTTTTGCTCAGTAGCTAGAGCATCCGTCTGTGGACTAAAGGGTCCCGGGTTCGATTCTGGTCAAGGGCACATGCCCAGGCTGTGGGCTCGATCCTCAGTAGGGAGCTCGCAGGAGGCAGCCGATCAATGATTCTCTCTCATCATTGATGTTTCTATCTCTCTC